ATATACAATGGGAAGGTCAAACATCAAAACACAATTCTCAACACACCAGGCAACCCTCCTATTAGTTCCTTAGTAGCCTCGAGGTTCCTCTTGAATCTCATACGAATCCTATTCTTTCAGTAGTACAACCCATACTACCTTCCACACCTATTCGTAGTCGATTCATAATTCATCCTAAGGTCCTAAGTCACTGCACTCGACCACTCCTAGGTATGATAACACCCACATGCTCCAATGAGCAACAACTAACTTCCTAGGCACACCTCCTAGGATTGTCCTTGCTCCTGCACCGCTGGTTGCTTTGTGCATGCTTATTGTACACAATACGGGGTCAAATAGATTGTCGAATGATCGACTATACCTTAAGTCCACAACCAAACAAGGAACAAGAAATAAGGCTAAGTCAATCATTCTAAGGCTATTTAATCTTGAGCGTATACAACTATACAACATACACTTAGCAACCATAAGACATCACAAAAATCAGGCTTTACTATTCAACAGTTCCTAAAAGAACCTTAGCTTATCCATTATCATGATTTTCTAACAATTCACATATTAGCAAATTCAAAATTCAGCACCTATAACAAGTATGGGTATTTTGGGAACCACTCTCCTGAAAACCAAGGTTAAGTAAAGTTCTACATTCTCGATCCTGAGCAAACAATCAAATAAGAACATGACAGAGACCGAGCCCACGTCCCTAACCTAATCCTTTTATAATAAATTCTTTTTCAAAAATGTTTTGTGAAAATTCTTGGATCCTAATTTGAGTTTGGATTCACACAAGTATTCCTCCAAATCCCTCAAATCAGGGCTCTGATACCAACTTGTAACGTCCCATTTTCACAACCAAAATTTTTCATTTTCTTAAGGTGAAACTTCGTATTATAAAATTTGTATTAAGAAAACCGTTTGTTCCAAATTACATTTCTTGAAAATCAGAGTAATATAATAACACAGAATCTTCATTGCTGCTGATGAATGTGTACAGTCACGCCTTCGCCTTCCCCTTCCCACGATAACCGATGATACCTGAAAAAAACAATAACAACTGGGTAAACACAAAGCTTAGTGAGTTCCCCCAAAATACCCCACACAATAAACAAACAATAACACATATCGGTCTCCAGTCATCAGATTGGAATACCCCTGGCCTACAGTCTCCCGACTGGAATGCCCCGGGTTAGTTGGCCCGCTGCCTCAAACTAACTGCTCTTCCCGAGCCTCCATGCCTATGGCTTATAGTCGGCCCGTACCTGGTATCTTGGCCTACAGCACACAACTAGACTGCCTCAACCTCATCCGCCACCATATGTCGACATATAAACAATCAAGGATCAAGTAAGCAGATAATATAGGCAATTATCAATCATATAGCTCACTACCGCCTACTAGACCCCTTACAACACACTGCTTCGCTACCAACTAACCTCCATGGAATGCGTAACCATAAGTAACCAGATGTGATATAGCCACCCGAACAGATGATCTTACTCTAGAGCCACAACCAAACAAGGAACGGGAAAGAAAGCCTAGATCAAGAGTTTTCAGGCTATCCTACATAACTACATACAACCTCTAAGGCACTCCACTAGACGATAACCAGCCTACTAGTACTCTAATTAGCATATCACTATTGTTGCATCCTAACATACAAGGATATGTATATAAATCTAGCTAATCACTACATCACAACAACATCCTATACACAAGTATACATAACCAACACTCCAAGGAATGCATAACCATATGTACCTATAGGTGAGATAGATACCCGAACAAATGATCGTACTCTAGAGCCACAACCAAACAAGTAACATGCCAAAAATCCTACATCAAGAGTCCTCAGTCTATCCTACGTGACTACATACAGTCCCTAGGGCATCCATATACTAAAATGATAACCAAAACTAGTGGGTCGGCATTGGTGCCTTCAACCCATAGGTATAGTGAGGAAAACTCACTTGAAACGAAGAACCCATAAACACTGCGACACGCTTCCTTTTCTGCACTGCTTGCTCCCACGAGCCCTCTAGCACCAAAACATAGAAGAATCTTAATTAACAACCCAAATCCTTCAAGTTTGACCCAAAATCAAACTGGTCAAAAAGTCAACGGTCAACGGTCAACGAAAGTCAACTGTCAACTGCCCCTCACGACGTGACCATCTATTGCTCACGTTGTGAGCCACTAAAGGGCAAAATAATCGAGACTCTTGATCCTCATGATGTGATAGGCATAGTCTCACATCGTGAGATCAATCTGATTGACAATTTGATGGATAAACTTCTTAATCCATTAAGCCACTAATCCAACTTCTCCAAAAGGCTTCCTAACACCCCAAAGACCATAAAAATCGATGTTTTAAGGTCTTGCTTTTCCAATTTAAGACTTGAGCTCAAATTAGGGCATTTATGAAGAAAAGGAGGTCAAAACCTCAAGCATGAGCTCAAACATCATCCAAACTTCAGATCCATCACATATAAACACGAAGGGACTATAAGGACCCACAAAGTTGCTAACTTTATGGAGTCCTAACACTCTAACTCAACTATCGATGGATAAACATGCATAAAACCTTAGATCTAGCAACAAGGAATCGTAAAGCTTGAATCTTGATTACTCACAATGGTCTAAATATGTTTCTAGAAGATGCAAACGAAGCTTCCAAGCTGGATTTATGCTGCAAAGGTGATTCCTTCTTCTTCAAGCCACCAAAACACCACCAAAATCTCAAAAATCACAAGGAAAGGCTAGGGTTAGGTTTTTTTCTATGTTTGAGGATGAAGGAGGCTATTAAGGAACCCTAAAATGAAGTTATGGGGTTTAAATACAAAAGGAACCCTAGAAGATTATGGGATTGGGTTGCAGCACATCTCACATCGTGAGCACATATGTATCACATCGTGAGCTAAGTTTAAATCAACATTCTCATTTAATCACTTTTCATGTCGTGACCTCTCTATGGTCACGTCGTGACACCTGGTTTTACCCAAAAACCATGCCTTTGATTCCTTGAAGCCCTAAATCGATCTGTTCTAGAAACCGGGTGTTGCATTCTTATTTGTCGTTCCAAAAAAACTATGGTCAACAAAATAATTCAAAGATTGATCATACGAGGAGGGAGACAATGGGGAATTATCTAGTGGTTCATGTGACATTAATGAGAACACAAACGGATGAGTATAAGCAAGGATAAACGAATACACATAAATATAAACGAAAGAACGAACATAAACATCCAAATGAAGAACCTTACTTAGATAATAATATTTTATACGAAATCCTACGATACATGATATTCAAAAATCCATAATTAATACAAGAACGTAAATATACAGACAAAAACTGTATCTTTATTTGATATATACTAACAAACCTTAAAGAGTTATATATTGAAGGGTACAAATCATATTATGCTAAAAGCCTCATAGCTTGTTTAAAGACTTACAACAGTCATAATCAATTGCAAACTTACACTGGATACATTTAAAGATCATTTTGTGTTGTAATCCTTCACCACACTTGCTACATCCATCATCAGACACGATGCCTTGAGCAAATGAGAGAGGGTGCATGTGAGCATTAATGTCATGAATACTTCCGAACTTTATATTCACAAAATAATAAATGGTTCTTTGATTCCAAGTATATGTATTTGTTTCGTACAGAAGTATTGAAGGAGCACACACAATATGCATAGACTGAACATAATCATGACAATGATAGAAAGCTGCCTGAGGATTCAAATCATCTTCACAAATTTTACATAAGTATTCACTCTTATGGTTCTCAATTGGAAGGTAACTTAGGGGCATTGGATACTTGTCATACTTGTGCCTAATCGTCTTCGGTAATAATAAAGCACATTCAAGATGAATATAAATATCACAATATCTGCAACTGAATGCAAGTTATTTGTTTAGAAATAGTTTTGAGATAGGATCCCAATTAATAGATTGTAGACACATATGACAATCAAAATTCAAAAAACGATTTTGAAACTCGTGAAAGAATGTGATCCGTGTTAGATTCATGTGTGATTTTCTTAGGTATAAATCCACATGTAACATCAATATAGTATCTACATTCGACACAAGAATAGGAAAATCCATTGCAATGTAGATGATAAACAATACAATGGTACACATCACAAAGAAATGAGGGACGTTTGAGTACATGAGAATAAGGATATGGTGTGGGTGACCTGGTGGTTTAGTATTTTTGCAGGCAGTCGGGTGCACCACTCATAGAGCACAAAGTTGCAACACTCAGCTTCATTAGCACATTTGAAAATAGCATGGTTGTGATTGGTATCAGACATACATTGCATAGTAGTTGGATCTTTTTCATTGGATTATGACACAATAACAATTTATATTTTGAGGAGGTTTGTTGGATACCTCCATTGCATTGTGTCTCGACTAGAATTAAAGGGTGTTGATAGCTGATGTGTTTTAGGTTTCCCTCATCAATTTTCAACGCTCTAGATCTTATTTCTATAGAAAAAAACTTGTTTTGGTATGTTGTAAGTTTGGTCGGGGAATGGGAGATGAAGAAGATGGGGATGGTCAACATCTTCAAAGTTTTTAATGGTTTTCCGAAATCCTGATAAATTAGAAATGGAATATCAAAGTGGGTTAGTATATATCAAATTAAGATACAATTAATCAATCACAAAATTTATAACAATTAAGGTAAGTAAACAAAAGCAATCATAAAAGGAATATTTACCAGCACGTATGGTGGCCATATACGATCCTTGCTTTCTTCCTGACGTTGCAGACTCCACATGGACATAATACATACATTTATCGCATTTGTAAATCCAAAGATACTCATTGTTAAAATGATCACCACATACTCTGCATCTAGGATGATGTTTAGCGATTTGATCCAACTTGGGGAAAGAATATGAAATGGTGAGTGGATGAGTATGATACCAAGTATTCTTTGTAGTCTGTTGGATTAGCAAATTTTGTGGTAGGAAAGCACAATCATTGTGCATGGTGAAGTTGGTACAAGTTGCATTGATAGAACATCCCTCTATGTTCCTTCCTACATGCATTACAAAGACACAAAATGGGTTTAGAGATAGTACATATTAGTAAGTGTGGGTGGCTAGGATGATGGATAACTTTTTTCCTACTTCCAATGCACAATTTATATCTAAGATGAAATCACATGACGAACATACGTAATGCATTTCTAGAAGCATGAGATGGCTATTACAGATACTACATCTCCAATTGATATTCCTCGAATGATCAATATTAATGAAAAGATGATGTGGGTGTAATGTGTACACTAACCTTATCGAGAGCTTGGCGCAGAATTTGTGAAGGGAGAAATCACACAATGAACCACCCATACATTTGTAGTAGTACTTATGGTAAATAGAGATTTGTTGGTCACATCCGCTACATGTACATTGAAAGCACTCTTTCGTAATTGGATCACAATCCTCATAATCACCATTTTCTTCTTCTTCTTCTTCTTCTTCTTCTTCTTCTTCTTCTTCAAAGGGTGGGAATTCTAGGTGCAAATCAACGAGCTTTAGTAGATGCGTGTGTTCAACTACCTCCATGATTATGTTTCTCTCTTTAGGATATGATGTTTTTGGAGCCCCTATATTATTTTAAGCAAAGAAAAGGAATATATGTGTGAAAATTTATAAAATTTAGTGGGTCGTATCTTTTCTATTTTGCGTACCTTTGTTCATCTTGTTCCTTTCTGTTTTCACTTATTCTTTTCCAAAGAAGCCCTCAACGAAGCACTTTTAAAATAGTTCCACATAGTTGTTTAATTTTCTTAAAGTGTTAGAGAATCGTCGTTTGTGTGTGATGTTTTCTCAACTAGGGATGTCAAAAAGTCTCATTGGTCCCCGTTCTCGTGGGGGCCCTGTCCCATTTGAGTGTATTTATTAAAAAAATCGGAGACGGGGACGGGGGCGGCGACAAGGTTAACCCCCGTTTAAATTTCAGGGGTGGGGACAGGGGTTGGCAGTCCCGTCTCGGAACCCCTATGGGGCCCCCGTTAGTAAATTATATATATATATATATATATATATATATATATATATATATATATATATATATATATATATATATATATAATATATATATATAAACAATAACATAATTTTGAGCTTCCAAAATTCAACAAAAAACATTTTTAAGTTGTTAAGATAATGTTTTTAAGATGTCATAACTTTTTTGTTTTTAACATGTAAAATTCTGTTATAAATAATTATTTGTTACCTAAAAATAGTTTTTTTTAGCCCAAACAACAACTTTTTTAAACAAAAAAACAGTCCAAAATTAATTGGGGGCGGGGGAACGGGCGGGGACGGCGGTATTAAGGGGGATTCGGGGGCGGGGGTAAGAAGGCTAGACATTTCGGGGCGGAGGAACGGGGAAATTTCGGAGGCGGAGGCTGGGGATGCACTCCCAGTCCCGTTTGCCCGCGTTGACATCTCTATTCTCAACTAGATTGGATTTCAAGTTTTGTTTTTTTGATTTTATATGCAATGAATGAGTACAATAAAATGTGTTAATGACTTGTAGCTTAATACAAGTAAAATCAATCATATTAAGGAAAGAATATGACGATGCTGGAAGCAGTTATAAGCTTAATGCATCTATTTAAATTGGAAAAATATTGAGTGGATGATCATTTTCTCATGTTAACTTCTTATTTCCAAAGGACAAGATTCACGAAGTATATTACAAGTGATATATCGCAACTCTTTTTCATTAATTTAACAAAAAAATAAACCTGTGCATTCATTATCTTTCAAATTAAACTGATGGTTATTGTTTTTTTATCTTGATGTCTAGATTGCTATGTGTAGGGATTTAAACGGTGAAAACTTGGCATGCCAATAATAATTAACGTATATTGTTTTTACAAAAACTTACAATTCTATAAAAATACAAAAACTTGCGAAAACTCGAAATATGAAAGAAAGGTACCAAAAAGGACTCCAACAACTATGTAGTCCTTATGAGCGGTGTTCGTTTGGATGGATCGGTTTGATCCGATCCAATCAAGTGAATCCGAATAGATTTCAGTTCTCCAAACATTGATCCGAATAGTTCAAACTAAATTTAAATCCGATCCGATCAAACCAAATTACAATTTGGTTGGATCGGTTTTTAAATTCGGTTTTCAAGAGGCAAGACATTTTGAAAAATATATAACTTGAATATTATCAAAATCTATAAATAAACTATTTTTTTTTATAAATTATAATTTATGAACAAATACTAAGAAAATATATTATAGTTAATATTTCATTGACAAAAAACTTTTGGTAAGAAGTAGTTTTAAAGTAATATATTCGATGAAAATTTCTAATAACTAAAAATAATAATTTAGTAAATTTATAAATAGTTAATGATACATATGAAAAATAGATAATAAGTTGTTATTCGGTTTTTTTGGACTATTCGGTCATTGATTTATAAACCAAAACCAATCTGAAATTCAAAATAATAATTCGGTTTTGCTGAAAACCAATCCAAAAATCCGAATATCCAAACCAAATAATCCGATCTAAATTGTCCAATTGAACAATTCGGTTTTATCCAAATAGCAAAGAGTTAATTTTTTTTTTTAACCAAAGACTTCAATAGATCAATGAATGGGCCTTTTTAAAATGGTATAACTGGGAGGGGTTTCTTTTACCGTAACCAGACCAACTATTTTTTACGGTGGCCTGGATCCAAATTTAATAACTCGGTCTTTTAAGCACCTAACTAAAACTTTAGAAGACATGCCCTGGAGTTCCGATAAGAGCCATAACATTGACTTAAAAAGGTGATGTTGAAAAACATGTTGACACCACAACTAATTCATAAACATATACATACCTATTCTAATAAATAAATACTTTTAATCTCTTTTTGCCAAGTTTCACTTTAATACAACTACTCATTAATATTATACAATGTGTCATGTAGATATATTAGGCAACTTATTTCAAAATTCAAATTTACATTTTCAAATTATATGTTAAATTTAAATTTATAATAACTTTAAAATTTTGATATATCTCTTAATTAATAATTTATTTAAAATGACTTATTTAAAATAACTAATTAATAATTATAAATATTTATTATAAAAGTTTAATTAATTTTATAACCGTGGTTCCCACGGGTTATAAACTAGTGTACATATATCCCTTTATATATATATATATATATATATATATATATATATATATATATATATATATATATATATATATATATGCACACATTTGATATGCGGACAAATATACATCCACACACACATATATAAGGTTAGGTTCATCTAAGACCATCATATTTTGTGAAACATGAGGACGCAATCATAACCATCCATTTTGAAGATCAAAAAAATATATTTTTAAAATGCAAAAAAAATGAAAATTTTTGAATTTTTTTTAAAATATTATTTTCATCATTTAGATTATCTGAAAGTAAATAAATAAATAAATACCGTTTTTTTAAATATACGTGAAATATTGTAATAAAATATTAAACTGTAAATATTCAAATCGAAATTTTAGAATATTAAAATATTCTACTACAATATTAAACTATAAATATTTAAACAATTCTAATAGATTATTAGAATATTCTAATAAATCTAACAATTCAAATAGAATATTAGAATATTTTAACATATCTAACAATTTTAGTAGAATATTAGAATATTCTAACATTTTAAGAATTCGATTTGAATATTTACAGTGTAATATTCTATTAAAATATTTCATGTATATTTCGAAAAAAAAAACGGTAATCTTTTTTAAATTTTTTATTTTTATTTTATTTTATTTTGTTTGAATTAAATGATGAAAATAATTGTTAAAAAAAGAATTTTTGGATTGTTCTTTTTATATTTCATTTTACAATTTTTTTTTTAATTTTTTGATCTCCAAGATAATTGGCTAGGATCGCGTCCCCATGTCTCAAAAAATTAGCATGGTCTCAAATGAATCTATCTCTCTCTCTCTCTCTCTCTCTCTCTATATATATATATATATATATAATATATATATATATATATATATATATATATATAAACACAATTTTAATTTGTGTGGGTCTATCGAAGGGTTTCATACATTTTTGTAAACCACTTGATTTAGATTGAGAAAAAAGAAAACTATGCCATGATAAAAAAAAACATATTAATTCGTGGACTAAAATCGTCCTTTGACTTGCATGTCTTCAATAGTAATAAGTTGTTCATTTATGGCTTTATAAAGCAACTAGTTTTGATCATAAAAACTCATCTAAGAGGAAAGCTTTGAATCTCATCTAAAATCATTCCAACTCAAGTCCAAGTATTTTAGTTGGTAATGTGATTAACTCTTGTTTGTAAGAACTGAGTCATCTAAAATACTTGGCTTAAGTTGAAATGATTTTCAAGGATATGTGAGTTCATTGGATCTTTCAAACAACTGAAGTAAGTACATCAATTTCTCTAATTATGAATTTTTAAGGTATTGTGCTTCATCTTATTCGAAATCCTTCTGATTTAAAGGTTCTTGATGTCAGCTCAAACATGGCTGATAATAAATTATGTGAAACTACCCGAATGGATTGAATAAAAACCTTACAAATTTAATGATTTCCCAAAATAAATTTACAGGAAGAATTCCTTGATCTTTATATATCTTCAAGTTTTCGATAGGGGACCTGATATTTCTACTGAATTATTTTCTCCATCCACTTGAAATTAAAGCATTTTGACCTTTTTGCCCTTGTCCTTATTGATAGTTTATAAAAAAATATGAAATAAAGGTAAATGGGTTAATATGCTGCCGCTGTTATCCTTAATCACATATCGCCTGTTTCACCATTCACTTTTACCATACCTCTCTTTCAGCTGATTATCTTCTACATCTCAACCACAAAAAACACTAAAACGGTGTTATTAACAATCCAGTAATACTATGAAGAAACCCACTTTCTTCATAGTTTATACGGACGAGTGGTTTCCACCCAAGATGGGTTTTCATCCCAAAATGGGTAATACACCACCGGCAAAATCCTAATTATCCGACAATTTCATTTTTGTTTGAAGCATTAATATACAGCTGCAATAGATGATGCACGAACAAAATGAACCAAATCAAAGGGATGACACATGTGACGGAGGAAAGAACACAGAGCACTAGGTAGAAGCTCAAATGTCAAAATTAGTTGTCGATAGGAGATGTCTAACCACAGATCGTCTGCATCACCATTCACCTTTACCGTATCTCTGTTTCGGTCGATCATCTTCTACATCCCAGCCACCACGCCATCATTCTCATCCAGCCACCATCACTATCGCAAATATTAATCACCATCGTCTTCTTTGAGAAGCCTTCATCAACAGGTTCCCTGTTCAGTCCATTCACGCCATCAAGAAGCGAAGCAAAGATGAAGATATAGACCTGCACACACAGCAAGAGCATATGTCGGGGGTGGGTCTCGGTTTTATTGAGGTGTATCTGCATCCTGGGAATCGATTCAGAAGGGAGGCAGGCGAATTGGAAGAAGCAATGGCGACCGGTGAACGGAAAAGAAGCAGCGTGTCCGGCTT